GACGGTGAGGTCCCGTTCGGGTCCGCGCGGTGCCTCGCTCTGCTGGACCCACCAGCAGCCCTCGCAAATGGCGACAGTGTCGCAGATCGCAGCCCCCCCCAATGACGGCGAGGTCGGAGACAGACACCGCAGGTAATATTCATACACAAGAAGTGCGCACGAGGCGAGAGGAGACAAACAGGAGGCAACATACGCGACCGCAGTGCTCTATTCAAAACGAATACCCAACCAAAGAAGGGTTGGGGAACATACAGTAGTCTAACCATAAGAGGGCGACGATGTTTCGACTGTGTTTGCCGATTCTGGATTTCAACAACAAGCGTTCAACTTTCGCTCAACCGTCGCCTGTAGGAGGACATGCCCGACCTAAAAATGAGACCCAACGCCCTCCTATCCCCTGTCCTGCCAGGAGGTCAAGCAAACGGAAGAGGAGGTAAGCGCGCAAGCGGCCCCAGTGCGACGCGGCAGCGCAGCGGGAGAGAGGGCTGTGCAGGTGGGGGAAAGGGGGGAGGGCGTGGGCGCTGTGGTGGCAGCCTGAGGCACTGCGACGGCGCAGCGGGCTGCGGAGGGCGAGCACGAGAGGTAGGAAGCAGTGGGCGGGTGGGGGGAGACGGGGTGGCCCGAGCGGCGCTCCGTGGGGGCTGCAGCCTCGGGCGAGATCACCAGTCCTGATTCATTTCAATGGAGTCTGGTGCGAGAACGCGAGTCCTGTGCGTCGAGGGCGCGGCGCCATAGGAAACCGCAAGAAGTCCTGAGAGAAAGAGAGCGCGATTCCCGTGTAGAACATGTGAGGACATCCCGCGCGAGACCGCTATATCTTGAATGCACTGCAAGGAAGTACACTGCGGCAGCCATTGCTGTAGTAGTCCAGGGCCGAACAACGCAGTTTGAGCTTCAATACTTCTCCTGATAAAAAGCGGGGTGCAAGCCCCGTGGGGGGCACTCAATTTGATTATCATTCTCAGGAAGCTGTCATCCAACAACAATAAGAACACACCGACAACATCGGTACCGCGGGACCTCATTTCAGCCACGCGCCCGGGGACAGTGTAGCACCGCTCGGCTCCCTCACCCTGTCCAGGCCCCATGAGACTCTCTGGACCTGGGAGACTTCGAACAAGGAGAATCGTATGCACCTGCTACGCTGTCTGGACCTTGGAGACCTCGAGTGGCGGGAGAATCCGGTGCGCCGCTCGTTGCGAGCACGATGCCCCTGCACCACCCTTGATGTGTTTTTCTTCGACCTTGTAGACCTGGAGTGGTGACACTCCTGGTGCCCCCACAATGCGGTACGAAGTGTGGGCACGCTCGTCGTCCAGATTCGACCCGATGCCTCGAGACTTCTGTGGGGCCCTGGGGCATGCAGGGTGACGCGGGATTTCGGCGGGGCACGTGCTGGCAGGCCAGCTTCTTCTTTCACGCGCCTGCTGCAATCCTGGGCCTATCGGATGCGTGGCACGCCCAAAACAAAGAACGTCGCACGGGTTGTATTGATCAGGCACCAGGGCGTGTGCAACACAGAAGGGGGAGCACAGCCCGAATTCATAAATGATTTCGCCGGGATGGTGAGGATCAGGCGCTGAAACGTGTACATCGTACTTCCCCAAACCTCTGACGACTCGATAGTTGGAGTCGCCGGACACCAGACCTCTGATTTTTCCGCGGCGCGGATTTTTCATCTCGAACCGTTACTTTACCGTCCCGGGGGCTTGCAAACGGCCTCCCAGCGCCGAACACGCTGCGCACCCTCTGGCGCGACTTCTTCGAGTCGCTGGGAATATGTTTCCCCACCCTCCTGCGCGTTGGGTCTTCACTTTGACTACTAAAACAATGTGGTCTCCAAGCGCCCGCCCTTCCGCCTCCGCACTATTCCTCCCGCTTCCTGTTTGACTGCTACCCTCCTCCCCCGTCGTCAGGACTCCAAGGGGGGGGGCTACCAACAGCGCAACTGTCGGTAGTTTCGAAGGCTCCCTAAGGGTCCAGCAGAGTAGGGGGGCCCCTAGATCCGGCCGAGACCCTGCGGCTCCCTGGGCGGCTGCGACGTGCGCAGCTGCTGGGCGGCTGCGAGTTGCGCAACTGTCGCCAGTTTCGTTAGCTCCTTTGGGGCCTTGGGCCATACAAGTAAACACACACACACAAATAAGAGGATTCCCCATGCTTTCCCATAGCTTCTGGGTTTCTGTCTTCCCCCCCACTTCCCATAGTTTCCCATGTTCTCCTAGGGGATCAACGATTAATTGTGTCTGTGTGTTTCTTTCCCTCCTGATCCTGGGAGGTCCAGCGGTGTCGGGGGCCACGCAGATCCGGCCGAGACCTCGCGGCTCCCACGCCGAGGTGCTCACGCTGACGGCTTGTCAGGGGCGGAGGCCTGAACATTCCCCAGGGCGTCATCGTCGACGCCAGGCATAAACGTCGTCCAGGCCGGGCATAAAACACAAAAAAACACCAACGACTTGGACGCTCTCTGGCTGCACCAGTGCGTCATGCTTGCCAAGCGACAACGCACGACAGCCTGGCCATCATCCGCGCGGCAGACTTTGACCTCCTTCGGGTGCTGGCGGGACTCGATTCCGCGGGACCTGATTTGTAGATGCGCCGTGCCAAGGGGCGCCCCCCTCCCGCCCAGTGCCACCAACAGGAGCTGCTGCCACACGGAAAACAGAAACAGCTACGGCTGACAATGTTTTGGCCTTCGGAGCTCTACAGCATTCAAATCGTCAGCGAAACCCATCTCCTGGAACCCGTTCTGCTGGATGGCGCCGGCGGCATCGCGGAAGAAAACGATCCACAACGGCGGACCGAAAGCAGTACCCTGAAAGATCACGCTTGCCATTGCCATCGCCCGCGCGGAGAGCCGCAGGAACCAGCCCTTGAAGGTGGCGTGTGCGCTCGGCCTTGCCAAGTTCCTGCGCGACTGCACGGAGGAGAGCTACAAGCGGGTTCCAGGCGATGTTGCGCATTGGTTGCAACTTTGGCGGCGCCGTCGGCGACGACCGTTCAAGTGAGAAAGGGCGCACGCCCGCATGGCGGCCATGGCGCGTGGCGCTGTCCCTTCGTTCAGAGCGCAGGGCGCTGGAGCCTCATGTAGCGCATGGGGCTGTCCTCAGTGGCCCACTCCCCCCCCTCCTCAAGCGAATGTCGTCCGCACCGGCAGCGCGGGTAAACCGACCAAATGTAGCGCATGGCGCTGTTACTCTCATCCGTAGTCATTCCGCTTCCCCCTTTCATCCTCCACATCCTCCTCGCCCCATTCTCTCCTCCTCCTCCTCCTCCTCCTCCTCCTCCTCCTCCTCCGCCTCCTCGTCCGCTTTTGTCACCCGTTTCATGCCCCTTTTCGTGCTTGTCGTCGCCGCATAGTTCCGCAGTCAAAGTTGCGCGATATTGTTTGCGATCTGAGTTGTGCAGGTGTACGATGTGCGTTGTCCGATAGTGTTTGGCGAACTTCTTCAGAATGTCGCATATCTCGCAACGTGTGCTTCCGTACCACGCATTGATATCAATAATCGCCTCGCGTGCAGAAAGGGTCGGGTACGTCTCGGATATTTTTTGTTGTCGTTCAAGCCTGCAGTCCAGCACGCACGGGCAATGGAACATCTGGTAAGAGGTCGGCCCCTCACCAAGTGGCGATTCTCGCAGCGTCGGCTGATCTTCCCGCCCTCTCGCCTGGGGGCTTACTCGCTGAAGTCTGGCCCCCCCCCCATCCTCCTCGTCCTCGTCGTCATTCCCTTCACCACTCTCCTCGTCCCCCTACAGTGGAGGCCCGGCCACAAGAAACCTTCCACCAGAAACCCAACCCTGGGACCCCAGGACCTCCATGGATTTTTGGTGCGGGAACGTCACGCCATCCACAGCAAAACCAGCAAAACCCAAGGCACCCGGGGCGCCCTGGAGGCAAGCAAGGTGTTCCTTGGCATGGTCCTCCAGTGTAGATCCCTCCTCCTCCCCCTGCCTCGCCCGGCTCGCGTTCGTCCTCCGCCTGCGCCTCCACCGCTCCCCACTCCGCGCCCCACCGCGCTGCGTCCGACACACTCGCGAAGACATCTTGCTACAGGGAATCTTGGGGCACAATCTTCGTCGACCTTTGAAGGCCCTGGAGGTGCCCCAGGGCGTCTTCGTTGGGCCCTTGAGGCCATCGGGAGTTAAGACAGCTCCGTGGGGCACCTGATGGCTGGCCGACGTCTTCGTCGATGTGCCTAACGCATCAGATATAGCCATAGCCATCAGCATGCCGTGTGGCGAAGCAGTCGGCGTGGGGGCGGCGGCCTCGGCCGCAGCCATGTAAGAATTCTGGCATCGCTCACGCAGATAGCGGTGCTGTCAACTGCAGCACGTCTTTCTGAGAGCTGCCGTGGTGCGACCACGAACGACTGCACGGGCTCCCTCCCGGGAAGGGGGTGCCGAGATCCAGGACTTGACGGCCTGTCGTGCACCTCAAACGCGTAAGAGGTCAGGTGCGGGTGCACCAAGATGAACATACTGAGGGAACATCCTGGCAAAGTGCACCAGAGCAGGGGACGGCCTTCCGTAGATCGGCACTGGTGCGTCCTTGCCTTTGACCTTGTACTTCTCGAGGAGCTTCTCTATCTGCGGCGCCAGCTCGGTCATCTCAGACAGCTTCTCGCTCAACCTCGTCACCACGGCCTCCAACTTCGCCTCGTCGTCTGGGCCGTCCGCTGCTGCCGGTGGTTCCGTGGCCCTCCGGAGGAAATCCCCGAAGTCCGCCTTCCGCATGAACTTGAGGAAGAGCTTCTCAGATACAACCTTCCCACCCTTGAAGATCACACCACCTTGGGGACTGACTGACCCGGGACAGTGCAAACCCGGGTCAGTCAGGCCTTGAAGGATCCTGCAAGATCCTGCAGGATCCCGCGGGATCCTGCACCCAAGCCCGGGTCAATGCTCTCCTGGCCCTGCAGGATCCTGCAAGATCCGGCGCTCTGGCTGACTCCCGTTTGTACTGACCCCCGTCTCTTGAGCCCCGACCGCCTCCCTCGCCGAACTCGTCCGGCCCGAGCGAAGCCAACTTGGCCTCGGCGGCCGCGCCGTCGGCGAAGGTCTCGACGGCCAGGCCGAAAGAGTCGGGGTCAAGCCAGACCTGACACAAGACGAGCGGCCTAATCACAAGCGGATGCCCGCGCGGATGGCTCGAATCGGCGCTGGGCCTGGCGCAAGAAAAAGGGCCGGGAGGGCGCTGCCACGGGGGGCCCAGCGCAGATCCAAGAGATCCGTGCGGACCTCCGAAAGTGTATGAATAGGAGGTGTGTCCGGCCCTCATCCCAGGTCTCGTGGGGTTTTCGAACGGACTCGACATTTGTGGCCGAAAGCCTGGGACATACGATGGGGGGGGCGTCCATCCTCGATAGGGGTGCATCCGAATAGCCCCCTTGGGGTGCATCCCAGACTTTACTTCCTTTGCTGAGCGGCTTCATCTTTCGTCGAAAAGTCGGGGGTCGGGGGAAGAAATCGCCAGCGATGTATTGGAGGCCTGGGAATGGGCACCAACACCAACACAGGAGGTTGCCCACAGGAGGGAACCGATCCTAGATTGTGGTGTTGGTGGTAAGTGTTCGGCCACTTCGAGAGCCCGAACATCACCACCAGCACCGAGATCGGGAGCATCCTCCCTCGGTGAAGGCACACCGCTGATCTTGGTGTTGGTGTCAACCTCTAGGCGTCCGCATGTATGCTTCTGCCGTTCTCTTCTTCGACGACCAGCTGGTAGAGGGAGGGGTCCGAGGCCCGCTCGCGCGCGCCCTCGGAGAGCAGCGGCTCCTCCGCGCCTTCCACGAAGACAGGGCCCAACCACTCCGCGTCGATTGCCTCCTGGGAGGGCGCCATTTATACAAGGCCTGGAACATATCCCTATCCCTATGTTGGGCATCGCCTCATCACGATGGCGATCTTATAGGGATTCCCTCAGTTTCTGAGGGTGCATCCCTAAGATTGTCATCGCCTTTTGGCGTGTCAATCTCAGGGATAGGGATAAGTTCGAGGCTGGTAAATTTATACAAGGCCTGGAACTTAGTGGGCCCTGGAAACGACAGGGCCATTTTTTTACCGGTCCCGTTTTGCCGTTTTGCTGCCGGATCCGACGCCGTTTGTTTAGCGGTTCCGTCGCCGTTGTTTTACCAAGTCCGGCTCTGGTTCCAGTCCTGGAGCCGTTTGTTTGCCGTTTCCGGTCGCCGTTTTCTTGCCATTTCCACTTTCAAGAGACAATTTTTCGGAAACGGTGAAAAAACGGCCCTGCCGTTTCTGGGGCCCACTACGGCCTGAAGGCGCATACACGGTGCGCCCCTCACACGGCTCGTGACCCGTAGGGAGATCAGCCGACGATCCCAGTGGCAAGGTCCAGCCCAAGGCTGGGCTAACGGCCATGCTGCTTCACCGTGATGTTGGGAACCAAATTGTAGGAAATCGCGAGCCACAACTTCCGACATTTCCCATCTGCGAGTGTATCGAACGGAAACGGCACAGCGAATTGCAGGACAGCGCGAGCCCCACTTGCCCACAATACCGAAACCTACATCGCCGTTACCTACATCGCCGTTAGCCCGTCTACGGTCAACATGGCGGCGCCGCCCAATTTTGGTGCACCCTTCACACTGTTCCTGGCCCCATAGGGATCTCAGCCGAAGGCCCCAGTGGCAAGGTCCGCACGGCGGCGCCGCCCCTTTGTGGCACACCTACACTAGAGGCCTTCTAGATGAGGTCCGAGTAGATGGGGTCGGATGATCGCGCCGCATCGCCGATGCATCGCCGATGCATCGGCGATGCACCGGCAACTTCAACAATACATCGGCGACGCCAGCGTGGAGAAAATCGGGCTTGACATCGAGCCGCATCGCCGATGCATCGACGATGCGGCGCGATTCTCCGACCCCATCTACTCGGACCCCATCTGGGAGGCCTAGAGTGGCAGGGTCCACGTGGCGGCGCCGCCCCATGTTGGTGCACCCCTTCACACGGTTCGTGGCCCCATAGGGATCTCAGCCGAAGGCCCCAGTGGCAAGGTCTCCACACGGCGGCGCCGCCCCTTGTTGTGGCGCGCCTGCACCGATCCTGGCCAGGTCGATCCGGGCCCGGGATCGACCTGGCCAGGATCGGTGCAGGTGTGAGCCTCATGGGAGCGTCCCGTACCATCTTGCCAGCTCTTGCGAATCGACGCTAGTCGACGCTAAATCGACGCTAATCGAAGCCACATCGACGCTAATCGACGCTAGCCGACGCTAAATCGGAGCTACCTCATCGACTTCAGACGCGAATCGATGCTAACGGTAAAGACGGCATTAAGAGGGTGCCCGAGGCTCCCATGATCAGCTACCGAAGGCAACCACGCGTGAACCCCGCCCTGCAGGTCAAGCTTATGAAATGCCAGCTGGGGACCAGCGCTCGAAGGACCTCTGCGGCCAAGTGCACCCCAGCGGGGGTGCCCGATGCCTCAGCGTCGAGTGGAACCGCAGGGGCAGGGTCCACACGGGGTACAGTCGGTGCCTTGACCTAAGGAACCCTAAATAAGGAACGGGGCCCCTTTCTCCCATAAGTTGAACTTCGATTTCCCATGGAAAACCTCAGGAAAACAGAAGGCAAACTGTAGAACAATCAAGGAACATCGAGCCCCTCCCCAACGAAAAGGGTTCCTTCTTCAGGGCCCCGGCTGTACCAGAGCAGCTCCGGTATGGTTTCCGATCGGGGCTCTCGTCGACAGGACAATGGCTGCGGCTCCCGCCGCTCGTGCTCCCGCTGCTGCCCGTGCTGCTTGCCGGCCACTCTTCCGCTCGGCCCGCCAAGCCGCTCACCCCGCCCACAGGAACCCCCGAACAGTTCTCCGCCACCGTGCCGCTGGGCACTGAGCGGGCGTGCTCTCAGGTCTTTTGCCCAATGCTCTAAGCCCCAATCCTCACCCCGGAGGAGTCTTCCAAGGGCCCGGAGACCAAATCGCCAAATCTCCCATGAGAAGGAGAAGGAGGAGGAGAAGCATGATGATGATGATGATGAGGAGGAGGAGGAGGAGGAGGAGGAGGAGGAGAAGGAGGAGGAGGAGGAGAAACATGATGATGAGGAGGAGGAGGAGGAAAAGGAGGAGGAGATGATGGCGGAGGAGGAGGAGGAGGAGGAGGAGGACGAGGAGGAGGAAAAGGGAGGAGGAGGAGGAGGAGGAGGAGATGGAGGAGGAGGAGGAGGAGGAGGAGGGGGAGCAGATAGCTTGCGCCCCTCGATCTCCGCGGGCAGGCCGGCCGCACGCCACGCGCGCCCGTACGCCCGGACCCTCCCGTCGACCTCGGGCTGCCCGAGGGCCGCCCTCAGCAGTGCGTCCACCTCGCCGTTCCCGAGGACCTGCAGGGAGAAGAAAAAGCACCACCACCACCACGACCACCACCTCCACCACCGCCACCACCACCACCACCACCGCCACCGCCACCACCACCACCACCACCACCACCACCACCACCGCCACCACCACCACCACCACCACCACCACCACCACCACCACCACCACCACCACCACCACCACCACCACCACCACCACCACCACCACCACCACCACCACCACCTGGGGGCTGGAGGCAGCGGGTGGTCAGGGGTGGTGGCGGCGCATCTCGCTTCGTAGAAGAAGAAAAACCGGCACACCCCCACACACACACACATAAGTGTTTGGCGCTGCGCGCGGATTGCTTGGATTTGCGCTGGACCCGAGCGCGCCAGGGGCGGCGCCTGGGGGGCGCCGCCAGGGGGGCCCAGGGCGGATCCAAGAAATCCGCGCGGAGCGCCAAAGATTTTATGCTTATTGCGTTTTTTTGTTCCTCTTCGACTTCGGGCGCTTTCGCGGGACGTCGTACACGCCTGCATCCCGCACACCAGCTCGTCCTGAATCCTCCCAGGGTGGTGGTGGTGGTGCGCTTCCTGCTCCCGAGCCTGGGCCGCGCCGCGCGCGGCCAGGAGCCCGAGCGGCAGCACCGCCCGGAGGAGGTCCGATGATCCTCAGAACGTGTGCTCGCGCCAACGTGCGCCACGCGATGCCGCCCCGCGCCCACTCTCCTCCTCCTCCTCCTCCTCCTCCTCCTCCTCCTCCTCCTCCTCCTCCTCCTCCTCCTCCTGCCAGGCCACGTCAGCACAGGCTGGCCGCCCCAGCCACTCCAGCGGAAGCTCTTCGCGCTGTGGGTGCCCTCCCTCCTCTGCCGCCCTCCGCGGCCGCGCCCGCTTCGTTCCCTCACCCTTGGCTCTGGACAACTGGTGCCCGCCATAGCCCGCCTCACCGGAGCGCGCGTGCGGATGGCCTCTGTGGCGGCGCGACGGAGCAACTTCTCCACCATGGGGGAAGCGGGCCTTGAGGGAGGCGGGTCCTGGATCCTGGCGCCCTCCCCCCATGACGAGCTCTTCACCCCGAGCCGTCTTCCGACAGCACTTGGGGCCCGTGGAGGGCCCCCGGGAGCCCGACGAGGGCGCAACGCCTCAGGACCCGTCTCTCCCGCAGGACCCGCGCCGCCCGTGGCGAACGACGCAGGCGGTGTATAATGTAGCGAGGGCCGGCAGAGGCTGCGTAAGACAGGGCTGAACCTGAACGGTGTTTTTCGTTATCGTTTTGTTTTCGTTTTCCCTCGCTTTTGTCTCGAATCCGCCTTTGCCGCAAAACGAAGTCGAAACGAAAACGGCCCACGAAATCACCAAAAACACCGTTTAGGTCCAGCCCTGGCGTAAGATACGGGCGGAGCTGCATGGGGCCACGCGCACCTTGGGCCAGCGCGCGTCCTGGGGACCATCGGGAGGCGCATGTGGGCTGCGGCCCCCGCAGGGGCGGGGCGCGTTGCCCCGAGGGGGCGAGGCACGCGCCCGTGACGAAGCCGGGGCCTGGGGCGAGACCGGAGCGGGACGGGTCGGGGATCCCTCTGGGCTCTGGCGGCCCAGGAGGATGTGTCGGGCGCCGCGGCCGTTCCAGAGCGCCGCGGGGCGCTCCGAGAGCGTTCCGGAGCGCTCTGGGCAATGTGTCCCGGTCCTGGCCCCGCCCGGCGTGTGCTTGGCGGCACGCGGGGCGGGGGCAGCCGAGCCGCGCAGGCGTGGGCAGCGGCGGCGGGGCCGCAGCTTGGAGCCGCAGAGGGGGCGCAGCGCCGGGGCGGAAGGAGTCTCCGCAAGAGAGTGAAGCTGACGCGCGGGCCCCAAACGGACGCTTCGCGGAGCTCGTACGGAATGGCATGTGTAGAGAGTTGAGGCTCAAGGAGCAGGAACCAAACCCGATGGCGCGGAAGAGTCGGTTGGCCCCGCCCACTCCCAGGCGACCTCCCATGACAGAAGAACCATTGCCGGCACAG